ATCAATTATGATTTTATTATTTTGGTTAATGATTATAAATTCGCAAAAAACATAATTCAAGGTGTATTATTTTATTGTTTATTTATAAACACACCTTGGCATAATTGTTAACACAGATATAGATAATAAACTACTACACGATTACTATATAAATTAATGTAACCGTCATTGGCCGTCATCTTTATGTGGAATTTGAGTACTTTTATTCCGACGGACATTGTTCTACATTTTACCATTTTTCCCAATGGACATTTGTTCCATGATTAAAACGTGGAAAAAGTGTTTTTTTGGAATAAATGGTCATAGGAACAAAAGATTTTGGAAGAAATGTTCACTAACCACAAAATATTTGTTATACAATATATTTCTACCACAAACAATTTGTTCTATAAACATTTGATCCTACAGATCTACATTTAGCAAATATTTCTTCCAATGTACTTTTGTTCCATGTATACTTTGTTCCACAATACCTACTTAACGCGATGATTATAAATGATCATTATAGTCATCATGATTATATTATGGTTATAATATCCTAAAATCATCAATGAATTTAACTTTAACATACTTATAACTAACTCCACTTATATATGTAAGGTGTTTTTAACACTTTATGTCTTGTTTTTTTAAACAATTAATATTTAATTATACAAATAATAATAATCTCAATAACTTACATCATAGTAAAACCATTTTATCCATTCTTATACTCAGATTCTGAAAAACAGGTTAAAGATAAATAGGACTTCGATGTTTTTACATGCAATACATACGATTTCTTATCTGATTGATCACAGTGTTGAAGTATAGCTTTTAGCAACCGATCATCGAGTCTAATAAGGATTATGAGGAATACATAAATACCGTGTAACCTCGATTAAATTATTGTGAAGTTGAGATTTTAGATTACACCAAGTTGTGGGAACTCAAAAGAGTTAAGACAATTTTCGGTATCATGTATTTACGCCGACGGGTATATACACCCGTATATGTTTGATTGCATGACGTTTTTACCATCGGCGTGATTACATGGAACCCAATTTTCAGATACACAAATATTTGCGGAACATAAGTACGTTGGAGCAAATATTTCATGATTAGTGAACATTTATTTCAACACAAAATATGTTCCGCAAATGTTTCTGTCAATGGACTTTATTCCGCGATACTTTATTCCACAAAACATAATATGTGGAACAAACGGTTTACAGAACAAATGGTCATTAGAAAAAATAATTTTGGAAGAGATGTTTATGTTAACAAATGGTTTGTCACGAATATACTGTCGAACAAATATTTGTACACTTCTTCCAAAATCAATTGTTCTGCAAAATACTTATCTACACATTTTGTGGAACAAATGGTCATTGGGAATAAATATAAGCCCGTTATTTTCCATTACTTGAATAATAAATACTAATATTATTGTTAAATTTCAATAGGTAGGTATTTGTAATTAGTAATTTTTAATTTTAATTTGAGATACCTGACTATTTCATCTTAAAAGATATATTTTCCAGATTTTTTTATTTATAATTTGTATTTTATTACTTTTTGCATTAAGTTATAGCGAATTTTATAAGTTATGATTGAACAGTTGATCTTATTTTATATACAAACCAATATCCAATTCGCCATTTCCAAATTTTATTGATACTAGACAACATGAATACTAGTACTTTAGATGCAGGTGTTTCACAATCATCTACAGTAATTTCTTTATCATAATCACAATAACCAAAATGAGTAAATGATAATAATATAATAAATAAATATTTAAAAATATTATTTTGTATTTTTACTTATGGTTGACACTGTCCCATTGAATTGATTTTTCTCATCAAGTCAATTGTCAATTATGAGACAACAGTATTTATCTTCATTTGAGAATTTACTTATTTCAATCAATACTTTTAACAAAAAAACAGTGTTTACATCAATATTAATATTTGATGCCAAATTAATTAGATAACTTGGGTTGGGTAAACAAAGTATAGACCTTAATATAATTTAAAACTAAAAAAGAGGTAACCTAAAAAGTAACTTAAATAAATAAATTTAATTGATTTTTACCTAACATAGCTGTATGATTTTGGTAAGTAAAATTAAAGTGAAGTAGCAAATTTTTTAGTATGTCTACCCTTAGGAGTTAATTTTATATTTTCTTACATTTTATTTAAAAATGTTAAATCATTTTTTTTTTTAATAATTTAGTTCTTTCAATGGCTGTTGAAGTTTGAATTGTAAACATTAACACCCAGGAGTAATGAATTAGTTTTAAGTATTTAAAGTTTAGAGATGAGAAGTAAAGTGGTACAAGACTATATCATAATTTAAAATTATAAGTATAATTAAAGGATTCAATGATTTTACTTATTATTTATTAAAATATATTAGGTAAACCATTAATTTAATGGTTTTATCTTACAATTATGAAAACATCTTAAAAGTCACATAAATGTACAGTCTACTTAATATGTTTCAATAAGGGAACGAATGTAGTTTAATTCCCAAGCGATTTTTTTCCAAAATGTATGTTTCGTATGATTTATTTATTAGTACTTTCAAAAAAAAAACGTTCAACATTTTTTGAAAGTTATGATCAAAAAATTTTAAAATGCTTGATTTTTCTAAAAACCTGATGAATTATTAATATTACATAATACTTATTACTTATACTACTAATACTCCAGCCACTGCAGGTGACGCGCATTTATTTATTTACGTTTTATTTTTACATATAAATTTTTTATTTATATATTTATTTACGAGTATTAACCATTTTAATAATTTTGTTTTTACTTTATTGTTTTTATTAAATATAATATGTTTAACGATTTTTTTGGTCCTGTTTACATACAACACAAATATCAAATATCTTGTTATAGGTACTATAGATTGTATAGTAATATAGTTTACAGATATACTGATATATGTGGCTTACTCGCATGCCATGTTGCGTTTGAATAGTGTTCCACTATTCACCCCTACCCAAAATTACAAATGTATAAGTATAAAAAGAACGGTTCTGAAACTATAGCAAGAGCCGGAGCTGCTCCTTCGCCCGCTATCATTGTAATGTGTTTGCAGGTACATGATCCCTTATTTCCCTTGCAATCCCCCTCTTCATCATCCTTTCCTCCCTTACCGTCACATCCTGCTACGAACTACTCCACGCTCTCCGCCGCATCTATTGAAATATCACGTTACGGCCTTACTACTCAATATATTGGTGAGGTTAGCTACAGTATACTAGTGTAAAGGTGCTGGCCACATAAATACATTTACCTACACGATGCCAACAGCTGTACAACACCCTATTATTCAGTGTATCTCAAAACTGGATATATTTTCATAATTTCACTTTAAAAGGTAGGCACCCTAACCCGCCGAAAACCAATTCCGCGGGAGCGGCACCAATGTCTTCCTTGACGGTGTTGCGGAGCACGAGAAGGACCACAGGCAAACGGTCCGACCAGCGCGCGGAGTCGTACGCGATGAGGGCTGCCTTGAGCGTGCGGTGGAAACGTTCGACCATGCCGTTCGCCTGCGGGTGATAGGGCGAAGTACGGACGTGCTGGATGCCACATGAGTCCATGAGCGCTTTAAAGAGGTCGTATTCGAACTGCCGGCCCTGATCGGTGTTAATGACATCCGGAACGCCGAAACAAGCGATCCAATTAGCGATGAGGGTAGAGGCGACGACGTGGGCAGACATGGAGTCAATCGGCCATGCCTCCGGCCAACGAGTGAAACGGTCGATTCAGGTGAGGAGGTACTTGGAACCGTTCGAAGGAGGCAGAGGGCCCACGATGTCGAGGTGGATGTGGCGGGAAAACGGCGCGAACGAGGCGACAGGCGACGAAGTATGGCGGTGGACTTTGCTTTTCTGACACGGAACGCAAGTGTTAACCCATAGCTGGATATCTCGGTCCATGTTCGGCCAGAAAAAACGGTTCCTAATGAGCCGAGCAGTGGCTGCACGGCCTCTGTGCGCCTGATTGTGGATGGACGCGAAAATGGCTTTACGTCGGCAGGCGGGGACGAAAAGTCGCCGAGAACCGGTTGAGACGTCAAAAATGAGCGAACCATGAGCCGAACGAAGCAGCGGACGGAGCTCGAGAGATGAGCGAACTTCGCCACAAAGAATTTGGTTAAGTTCCGGATCGTCGTTCTGATCGATGGCCCACTGATCCAGATCCGGATGATAATAATCAAGGGACGCGATCTCGAGGCGAGAAAGCGCGTCGGGCACGACATTGGAATCACCGCTAACATGTTCGACGTCATGGAAGGAAAGGAACGCGATGTGTCGTGCTTGTCGGTCGAATAACTTTTCGGACTTCTGCGAAAACATGAAGGTAAGCGGCCGATGATCGGTACGAAGGGTGACACGACGACCTTCGATAGTGTGGACGAAATGTTTTGTCGCAAGGTAGGTGGCGAGGAACCCTTGACCGAGGTGGTGCGCACGGTGCACTTGTCGATGGGATCGATGAGAAGATTTCGCCGAATATCCACGACGAGACCAAAATGATGTAAAAAATCCGCATAAATGATGGCGCGCGGCACGTCAGCGCGCTCGAAGGTCCACGTAAAGAGCCGTGATAACCCGAGGTCAAGCGAGAGGGTCCTGGAACCGTTAGTTTTGATGCGAGTACTGTTGGCGGCCGTGAGGCAGAGGTCGGAGTGCTGGGCCGGGTCGACCCCCGGCAGGATGATCGAATTTCGGCTCCGGTGTCGATTAGGAACAACGTCCCGGAACAGACGTCGTTGGCGAAAGCCCGCGCAGAAAGGGCCACGGCATGCAGAGCGGGAAAACTGGCCGTGGAGCTCAGTTTTCCGACGGGGTGGACGAACACGAGGAGTGTCGCGCTGGGCGACACGCGAGAGCAGACTTCTCGCTACACGGCGGACGGCACTTTTTCGCAGTGCTATCGTAACACGCGTGATAATAGCACGGAACACCCGCGGAGGGAACGGAACGGGCGTGCGGGCTAGGCGGACGTGCCTACGAGTACTCGGACGGACGAGGCGACGAAGGAATCGGTCGAAATGACGCGTAAGTGACTCGAGACCATCCTTGAGCCTATCCAAACGACTTCGGCGGTCGGGTTAAGAGGTAGTGGCGGATGCGGACGCGGTGTCGATCCGTGACGAACAGGCCTCCAGAGCCCGGTCAGCTCGTAACGCGAGCATATCGGGCGGACCATCGAGGTACGCGTGACCGCGTGGACGTTCGCAGGAAGTTTCTGGAGCCAGAGATCTGTGAGCAACTGCTCACTGAGACCGCCTGCTACAGATTCCCGCATCTCGCGGAGCATCTGAGACGGACGTCGGACGCCGAGCCCGCCGGGCTTGATGAGTGCGCGGATGCGTGATAAGCGCGTGTCGGCAAAGACGTCAACCAGTCGAGCCTGGAGCAACTCGTATAGGACAGTGGGTCCCATAATGTCCACAATTGCTCAAATTCCTTCCTCGTCGAGCGCGGAGAGCAAAAAATTGACCTTGGACATGTTAGCCGACACGCGGTGTGAGGCATAGACGGCGTCTGCGTACAAGAACCAATGAGCTGGCGAATGTTTCCAGAACGCTGGAAGACGGACGTTCGCGATGGCGGAGGTATTGTCTTCGATGACAGAAGGGTCGGTAGATTGAGCCATTACAACGAAGGCGGATGCGATTGGATGATCACGTCGAGGTCACCAATTTGGCGGGTTACACCAAGACACAAGGTTTATGATAAGGTAATAAAGATACGTTTATTTACAACATAAAAACATAATACAAGTGATCGCCAGCAGACGGCTTTTGACGGAGGAAAGGCGAGCACGCAACAATTAAAAACAACATTAGTTAAGAAACAATTATACATAAGAATTATTCGGAGTTGGAAACAATGCTTCGCGTACGGTGTCGGTGCGGAGAGAGCGGAGAGGTGGTCACGTCGAGACGAGAGGAGCTGTGGACGATGACCGCTAAACGCCGACGGCGAGGGGCGTGGCCGATGTCCGCCGCGAGCGACGCGCAGCGGCAAGAAGAAATGTGGCGCGAAACCCGCCACAAACATATAGATAAGGCATTCCATAAAAATCTGTTAGCTAACACAATTGATACTACTATTAAGCACTCTCGTTATCTTGCACGAATTTTACTACTTTCTTTGTTACACAGAAGGATCCGTGTAAGTGAGAACCATCGTTTCTCTCTCCACTATGTTGGTGTGTGTGTGCACGTAGAGCGAGTATATTAATTTCTTATCCATAATATGTTTAATATCTATGATTATTATCGTCTGCCGCCCGGAACAGAACATTTTTAAAGTATACCTTATAGGAACACCACTGCTAATAAGGTTAGTCACCCGACAAAATCTGGCGACATTGTAACACTCGCGCGTTAACCACACTGATAACCAAAATTTATAGATTATAAAGGTCACCTCACTTTGAAAATATCAAAAGAACAAAAGTGGTATAAAATGACACCGTGACGTAATTATCGTATAAACGATAACACGATAACAAGCGTTTCATGTGTTTGTATGCACTATTCCTTTCTCGTAGTCTCATTTCGATTTTGTTTAATTTATTTAATTAGATTGTTTTAATTTCAATAATTACTTATTATAAATAATACGTTTTGTTTTATTACGTTACGTTTTAATACGGTAAATACGTTTTGTTTTTATAGTATTATTTTGTACAAAACTAGCTATTATAAACCTTGTCTGGTAGCCATGAAATTATTCATCGTGCCTACAACGTCATAAGTGTGTATACGGGTTTATGGTTGTAACTATGTGACGGTTGAGTATTGTTTATTTGTTTTATCGTTCCGTTTACTCGCGTTTCGCCTTTTGCGTCTTATTTTCGGACATCTGTGTATATCATGCATGACTCGCAATATCAACATCGCAACTATACATTTACATTTCACATCATGGATGTTGCGGAATGTAGTTGAATGTAATTATACCTACATAACATTGTGCTAGGTACTTTAATATGCGGACTATCTCGTCTGTGCGATGTATGACTATCCATAGATACATAGTACATATACTGCGAAATCCTCTAATAAATATTAAAATGTTGATAATGATAATGATTTTGAATTATTTTACATACATACTCCTCTAAACGGTGCAAAATCAGGCTGAAGTAGGGTATTAACTTCTTTACATTGATATGAGGTTTGGACTTGATGATCGATACAGTAGGCGTAGTGAGTGGCCACCTCACCGGACCCCTACAACCTATAGATATTGATAGACATTTATAATAAAAATTCCAATTTTTAGCATAAAATGTTAAAATTGTATATAGACCACATACTGAATTATAAACGCACTGGTATATTTCATATAGGCAGTGGTACTTGTAAGATATATTTACTACTTTTAGTAACTAATCCTTAAATCTGCTAAATCTAATGTTACAGGCTGTAACATTATGATCTTATTTTTTTGATTTCCATATATTTTATCCACCTACTTTTCAATACATATGTTATTAGTACAAAACTATTTAATAAATTATAAAAAAATTAATAATTTACAACTTCCCATTGAAATAATATTAAAAGTGAATCAATTAATTGTTTATTATATAATTTATATTTAACAAGATAAAATGTTGATAATCCATAACCAAAATTGTCAAAGTATTTTAATAAGTCTAATTACAGTACTAACCAGTTATAAACAGTGTTTCATACAACATAATTTTTGAAAAGTCATTCAATTATTATCATATTATTAATTATTTAACTGGTTTAGATGATGTATTTAAGTAAATAATTATACAAGTTAAATTACTTATACTTGAAATTTGATACCTGTTATAATTATTAATTTTAGATTTCTCTTTAAAGATTACTTTTATCTCTAGCTGTTGAAAGGTTTACTGAAGTAACTATTAACAATTTAAATGATTGGTTGAAGGTACTCATATTTCAATTTCATCAGCAATTCAAACTAACAAAAAACAATGATAATTTCTTTTGTTACATCTGCATATTTATGATTAATCTATTATATCTACCAATATTAAAATTAAAATATTGGTTCGCATATATTATAACTTAAATATTAATTATTTTAAAAATATAATTAACTATATTAAAAATAGTGATTTTTTTTTATAAATTTACACTACTTCAAAAGATATAAAGGTTTTAATATAAGTTTGTATAATTGTTTTACCTATTTAATGAAAAACTGTTTTAACTTTTCAATAATTTTGTTTTGTAATCTTAAAAGATTATAGTATCAAATCATATAATTTGTTATATTTTAAAGCATTTATGACAAAATAATGTTATTGAATACTCAACATGATTCTATTTGTATTTTTATTAGTAAAAACTAAGCTATTTCAAATAATTGTATTACTTTATGACAAAAAAAATATATATATTATGTTCACACTTAAAATTTGAAATAGTGATAGCACATAATTCAAAGTTTTATAATTTTGCTTTCAAAAAAAAAAGTAATAATTATTCTAGGTAATAATATCCTACATTTATCTCAATTTAAAAATGTTTAGGATTATCTTTGTTTGAATAATTTGGAAAATTATCTATTACCTATGGCTGGACAACTCTGACAGGGTCCACACAGGTTTTGTGGCTGATGCCTACCAAAGGCCATCTGCATTTTGGCGCTACTTGCGGCCAGTCGTGGTGCTGGAGCAACAGGCGAGCCACCACTGGTCCAGGGTCTTCAGAGGGAACATCAGCCCCCAGCTTTTAAGGCCTCTAACTTTCCCGCGACAAGGATGGGTTCCTTAAGAACTTAGAATTTAGAAAATATCAGATAATTCGGATCACCTCCGTTCGGCGATCTGAATCATATCATAATCATTCAATTTTATTGCGTGGATAAAAAGTTTAAAACACCGTTAAAATTCGCAATGCGATATTTTGACGTTACAAAACCATTACCCATTGACTTGAATTTATACAGTATCAGTAATAACAAATGAAAATAAACATTGTACAAATACAAACCCGATAAAGAAATATATTGTATATGCATACACTACCGCAAACGACCCGGATCTTTTGAACGGTTCAAAGTAGAGAGCGAATATTCAGTTCAATTGTCGTGGTTCCCAAACGGTTCGCGAATCGCGTGATGATTCGGACATAGATTAGATATTATAATTTGTATTTTGTATGATTCGGACTTCGTATAGAAGCATAGGTTAAACATTCGGTATCGGTATGATAACGTGCGCAAAACGGTGGAGATTAGTTTCGGAACAGCTCCATTTCACTCACTCTCATAATACAATTATTTATTATTATGATAAGGTTATCAAAAACTCGTGTATGAACCTACGAACAAATACGAAAAGAAAATATCAGATAATTCGGATCACCTCCGTTCGGCGATCTGAATCATATCGTTCACTACTTTGACCTTAACTAGGTAATTACGTTTATTTGTTTATCCTTCAGTATTAGCGTTACTGCGTTTGCGTATTTTGTATTTTTTGTTAAGATTTTACAATAATTTGTTTTATTCAAAATGGATCGAGAAGGCAACAATATTTCACCAATGAAAAAAATTCCTCGTGAAAAAGTAAGAATTGTTTTAACTTTTATGATTGTATTATAATTGTACCTACTGTGTACTATAAAAAATGTTTTTAATTTTAGTTTGTTGGTTCTCTTTAAAACCTGATGATTGTCAATTTGGACAAAATCAAAATAGCACTGCAGGGAATTGGAGATGGGCCAAAATTGACTGCGGAGGAAACTATAAAACAAATATCTGAAGAATGTGGTATCGGACAACGGACTGTGAGCGTTCTTGTTCAGTTTTGGCCCAACCGTCCAACGAAACATCTGAATTTCGAGTATGTCCGTAAGTCTCGTAATAGCTTTTTAATCGAACGGAATGATATAGTGTGTTGGCGCCGAAGATATCTAGAAACTATGAGACATTACCGTCAGTTAGGTAGACAAATATATTACCTAGATGAAACATGGTTGAACACAGGCGAAACCACTCCAAAATCTTGGCTGGATAATACAGTAAAATCGTCAAGATTCCTCAGAAGCTATACAACTGGACAAAAGGAGCCGTCTGGTAGGAGAAAGCGGATCATTGTTGTGCACATCGAGTCATCTGACGGCTTCGTTGCTGGCGGTCTATTTTGATTCGAATCCAAAAACAATACACAAGATTATCATGATGAAATGAACGGTGATAATTTTTATGAATTACAATTTTGCCGTTGTTGAACGACAATGCCTTAATCGTCATGGATAATGCGTCATATCATTCGGTGAAGAAGGACCCTTGCACCAATATGTCTTGGAAAAAAAGAGATATTATCAACTGGCTTGAAAGTAAAGGTGATCAAAATAATGTCAAGTCATAATTATTGGAACAAGTAGAAGTTTTAAAGCCTCAGTATGAACAATGTGTAATTGATGAATTAGCGAAGGTTGCTAATAAAATTGAATCATTTGACTATAAATGTTTGTATATATTTTTTAAATATGACTAATTTCTAATCAATTATGAGAATTTATACAATTTTAATTTATGATTTCTACTATTATTTTATTATTTGTATTTTAAATTTAACTACCTCTGGAAAAAATATAATAAATACAGTAAAATACAATATTTGCATTTTTATTTTATTTTAAATTGGTCATTTTTCATGGAAATAATTTATTTTAAAAATATTATTATTTAAAATGAGTTATTACTAGACATAATTATGTTAGGAAGTATAACTTATTTGATTATTATTCTCCAAAATATATTGATAGAAAATATTATAAAATAATTGTTCTTTGTTTCATTGTGTATTTGTAATTTTTCTTAACATGAATTAGTCTGTAGAATATTACATTTATTATTTTTGAGAATAAGGGTGATAGAATCAAATGGGATTGTTGCATCAGTGTTCTAATCAGTTTTTATTCACAGAAGTATTAACCCTTTAATAATTTTGTTTTTACATTATTATTTTATTATAAAACAAATTTAAAAATGGAAGGTATAATATAAATGTATTTTTTTATTGTCATTTAGCGAAAAAATTAAATATGAACATAAAAGGATTAAAATTGAAAAATATATTTTGTAAATATTTTAACTTAAAAGTGTGTTAAAAAATTATAAACAGTTAATGTACAATACATAAGTACAAATAATACATTACAAATTAACTGTATAGTATAATAAGCTACATCAAAATTACTTATAACTTATAAGTGCAACTAATCTCCTCACCCCGGATCATGATTTTTTACCAATGTACATAACCGCGGTGAATGGGAATTCGAAGTGTTATCGAATGATTGCGCGGCCTCCCGGAAGGGAAGCCTTTACAAAAATTAGTGTTAACTCATTTTTTTCTGTGCAAATGCCAGAAAAAAACAACTATATATACTTGCATGGAGTATGCATTGTGCCGAAACGATAATTTTGAGGCCTATTTATAGCGTTTGGACTTCTTTGGAAACATCCAAAAATTGACACCCTGTCAGATTTTTTTTGAGGTATTCTACTACACATGCATAAATAGTTCCGTGTTTTTCGTATACATTAACTCCTAATAAAATCAAAAAATTACCTCTTTTATGTACCAACCTACATCAATTTCATTTCAAAGAAGTACTGCAATGGAGATAAAAAAGAATAAATTAATATTATAAAATCATATGACTCTTCGCTCATTATTGAATCTAGACAACTTCATGTTGGTTCATTAATACACCTAATTTAAATTTCTATTTGCCAAGTTTGGTGAATTCTTATCAAACATTAATTTACCAGATAACCCTAAAGAGATCATGTAATAATAGATGGAGAATTATAGTGAAGGTCTTTAATGTAGTTCGAAGTCAAAAAATAGAGAAGAAATTATTAACATGGCCGCAAAGCAAACATTTTGTATCTGAAAAACCAAATAAAATGTAACCCTAATAAATGTTGTCTACTCATATTTCCTTTTACTATTAAACTTCTTCAAATACAATTTAAAAGTTATATTTTTCATAATTATAGTAAACAGAAAAGTCATTTACTGCATTAAAATGACTTAAAATATTAGAAACTATTATTGATATATTATTGATTATGTAGTATTTTATTGCAAAAGTAAATAAATAAGGATAAGAAGTTGTCAAAAACAGATCTGCTACAATTACAATTTGTTTAATGCCACATTAGGAACAAATAATAAACTATAAAGTTATTTATAATAATTTATTTTTAAGACAGACCAAGTAATTGTTGGTTGCTGGTAAATCTTAACATTATATTTGTACAAGAGTAGATATACCATTTCACAAAAAGTCCAACAATATTATGGAAATAGTAACTGACCTCGGCATATAAAAGAATGACTTTGTTAATAATGATTTCTTCTTATCAACTGTATATAAAGGTGATTAGAATCAAGTGGGATTGTTGCATCCATGTTCTAATCAGTTTTTATTCACAGGAAACCTAAACAGGACATTCCTTTATCTATTAATTATATATTTAAATTGAGTATTAACCATTTAAAAATTATATTTACATAATTATTTTATTATAGAAAAAATGCATAAATAGAAGGTATCATATAAATATATTTTTTATTGTCATTCAATGAAAAAATCAAATATCTTAATAAAGGGNTCGGTTCATATAAAACACATAAAGATAAATAATACATTACTAACAATGTTTCAATACCTATTCGTGCTTTTTATCAAGGTTAATCTAAATATTCTCTAATTAATAAAGTACTAATATTATAATTATTTTTAAGCAAGAAAAAACATAATTTATTTAATAGTATAAAAAAAAAAAATACTTTTACATTTCAAAATATCAAAAATTATTAACATCGAAACTAAACATCACTGAAAATTTAATTTTGATCACGCATAACATGTGACACGGGTGACAAATTAGACAATTTGGTTGCATTGAATGGACTATTGTTAAGTTCATTCGCTTCATTTATATAATTTTCATCGTTTAAATAATGTGTTTCTCTATGAAGCGATTTAGCACTTGGTAGGTCTTCTTTGGTCCCATCATTTGACACAGTTTTATTATCTAAATAAAACTGTGTAGTGAAATCCTTACCATTTATTATATCATTAATAAAGGCTAGAACAGGATTGTACGTTACTTGGATTTTCTTCCTCAATAGTTCAGTGGAATAAGCGTTTCTATATATTTCTTTGGAATTTTTTAGGCCTAGTGGTTTTCTAGTAAACGTGAAATTATGTATTTTCAATCGGGATCTTGGCTTTAAATATTCATGTACCTCCGGTTTCGTAGCATGGAAAAACAAAAGAGCTGCACTGTAATATATATCAATTGCATTTCCATTGGTCCTATACACTACTTCTCTTTTCCAGCCAAAATAATCAAATGGCCTATTTGAATTGGGATCCATTGGCTATAGAAAGGCTGTATAAAATTCTTCTTTATCCCAAGTTAAATAGGCCATTTGATTTTGGCTGGAGACGAGAAGTGGTGCATAGGGCCAATGGAAATGCAATTGATATCTATTACTTTGCGCCAGAAAACATAAAGCTACGATCAAAACCGGAAGTCAATGAATACTTAAAGCCAAAAACCCGATTGAAAATACATCATTTCACGTTTGCAAGAAAACCACTAGGTTTAGTGGTGCATAGGGCCAATGGAAATGCAATTGATATCTATTACTTTGCGCCAGAAAACAAAAAGCTACGATCAAAACCGGAAGTCAATGAATACTTAAAGCCAAAAACCCGATTGAAAATACATAATTTCACGTTTGCAAGAAAACCACTAGGTTTAGACAATTCCAAGGAAATATGCAGAAACGCTTATTCCACTGAAAGAGCTGAAAATAATCGTGGTGGAAACGGTATAAATAATGTAGAAAACCAAATTGTACAGTTAACTATTGAAGAAGATAATACACATAATGTACAATCCTGTTCTAAGAGTACTGGCAAAATTGTAGAATCAGATAAAGTTGTTTATCTGAAACAAATATGCGTTTAGATAGTAACGGTTGGTCGGCGATTTCAGTTTAAAAAGAGATCAAATGAAGAAAATCAAGCTAAACTAGTCTTTATTAATGATAGAATAAATGGTAAGAATTTCACTACACAGTTTTTTTAGATAATAAAACTGTGTCAAATGATGAGACAAAAGAAGACCTACCAAGTGCTAAATCGCTTCATAAAGAATTACATTATTTAGACGATGAAAAATATGTAAATGAAGCAAATGAACTTAACAATAATTCATTCAAGTCAACTAAATTATCTGGTTTGTCACTTGTGTCACATGTTATGCGTGATCGAAATTACCCGATTTATATATGTATGGAACTCGTGGATAACACACTGCCGTCCAACGTAAAGGGGGTACCTATACCGATGGCAATGGGAAATACTAATGAAAAACCCCAAATATTTGATACCATTAGAACCTAACCAATTTGTACAGTTAACTATTCAAAAAGAAAATCCAAATAATGTTCAATCCAGTTCTACGAGTCAGTAGAAACAGATACAGGAATTTCATCTGAAACAAATATGTTTTTAGATAGTTTAGATAGTCTCGTCACTGCACGCGAGCAGTACGGTCGTCTGTGCGCCGTTCTGTATCTCGTTACACTAATACGATACCGTCACTTCTATTAAAAATAAATTTTTTTTACTTCGTTGAATGTGTCCTAAAAACAACGACCGCACTGTTACACGCAAACAAATATTAATAAAACCTGACTTACCGCAAATTGGAAAAAAACTAAATTAATCAATCAAGTAATCACGCGTCGAACACCCCGAGAAGGCGGCGGTCGCTTATCGACGTTTTGTATCTTACGTAATAATGCCTCCGCCGATAACGTCGAGCTCAATANAACATCAAAATAGACAAAAAAAAATATCCAGAAACTTCTTCCTTTGCCATTCCTCCAAATAACTCACTAAATGATTTCTGTTCCCCAACTATGCTTAAGCGATTTAATATTTGTGTTCCATATTCACGTATATCAAACTCAGTTCCTTTTTCTTCTTCTTCATCTAAAATTGGACGAAGGTGTTCATGCCAAGCTTGAACTCTTTTGCGCATTTCCAGATGTTCAGTTGCCTGAAATAAGAATTAAAATAAATATTTTACAATATAATATAAAATTCAACTAACCATTTCCACTGCATCTTGTTCATATCTTTTCATATCTTTTAAATTCATACAATATTGTAAGGGTATTTTCTCGAACAATTGGATCAGTTTCTGGTTCTTCTGCATCATCCATTCTACACATATAATTATCATCATTATAATCATCAAATTCACCCACATAGACTGGCATCTTAAATTCATTTGAAGCAGATTCTTCAAGCTCAGATTTTTGGATGACTTCTATATAACAGTAAAACATAAAATTGAATTGGTACATTATTAACTTTTATCGGGAATGTGATAATATGAAACAGGAATTATATGCATTTGCGGGTTTCAAATCAAACAGATTCAATTGGCCAAATGTTATTTTTCATATTCTGAAAAAGCTGAGGTATTCTAATGTAGAAATATTTCGTGTCAGGGTGTTTGTGGTTCCACTCTTCCAAAATGGCTCAACGGATTTTAATGAAATATTTTATATATGCAAAAAAAATGTCGCGATTTGTGAAATGACAAATATGCAATATTTTTATTTATTGGTTTATATAATAGCAAGGATTGGCATTGGGCAAGTTAATAATATTTTTTAACTCAGTTAAGTGAAATATTCAATTAACTAAAAATAACTTTAATTAATAAGTTAAGGTAATATAAAAAACTTGATGAGATATTAAAAATTAAAACACCTAATTGAAATGAAAGCAAATATGAAATATTACCAATGTCTTTATTTTAAATGAACAACAGTCATAAATAAAATATTTTCCTAGATACCATGAAAATTCAAAATTAACCTAATTAGGAATAATAAAAAAATTTAAGTTGATTTCAAGTTGGGCAAATAAGACAAATGAACTAAGTTAATTAAAATAGCAAACTATTAAATTAGGTTAAAAAGTTGAAAATCTGTTGTATTTTTTTTTATAAATTAATATTAATACCAAATTCTTTACTGCCCAATAACTAGTGGCCGCACAAGTTCCCACTATCAGATGATTTTTCTTTTAATTGTTTGTTTTTTTATTTTTTCAATGTTCTTTTACCTAATTCATTTTTAAAAATACTATATTTTTATTATATACAATTAGTTATTTTATTTAGGAGAATCTAAGACGTATCAATTTATCACCATTCATTTGAGCTTGAATTCCTTGGGACGTCGATCCAGCACGGTATACGGGCTCTCGAAGAGCGCCTGAAGCGGAGCGCGATGCGCAGAAAAACATGCGAGACGGTGTCGAGCTGTGACGGCACGAAAACCCGACGAGCAGCGCCGTGACCAGACTCCTTTGTTGGTCGCAAGAGGGAACGGAACGGGCGTGCGGGCTAGGCGGCGGAGCGCGATGCGCAGAAAAACATGCGAGACGGTGTCGAGTTGTGACGGCACGAAAACCCGACGAGCAGCGCCGTGACCAGACTCCTTTGTTGGTCGCAGGAGGGAACGGAACGGGCGTGCGGGCTAGGCGGACGTGCCCGCGATCGCTCGGACGGGCGAGACGACGAAAACGAATTGCGACGAAGGAATCGGTCGAAACGACGCGTAAGTGTCTCGAGACCATCCTCAAGCCTATCCAAACGACTTCGGCGATCGGGAGAAGAGGTAGTGGCGTATGCGGACGCGGTGTCGATCCGTGACGAACAGGCCTCCAAAACCCGGTCAGCTCGTAACGCGAGCATATCGGGCGGACCATCGAGGCCCGCGATGACCGGGTGGACGTTCGCCGGAAGCTTCTGGAACCAGAGATCAGTGAGCTGGCGAGTGTTTCCAGAACGCTGGAACACGGACATTCGCAATGGCGGAGGTATTGCCCTCGATGATGGAAGGGTCGGTAGATTGAGCCATTGCGACGAAGGCGGATGCGATCGGATAAAAACGTCGAGGTCACCAATTTGGCGGGTTACTCCAAAACACGAGGTTTAATCAGATCGTAACGCGAGCATAACGGGCGGACCATCGAGGCCCGCGATGACCGGGTGGACGTTCGCCGGAAGCTTCTGGAACCAGAGATCAGTGAGCTGGCGAGTGTTTCCAGAACGCTGGAACACGGACATTCGCAATGGCGGAGGTATTGCCCTCGATGATGGAAGGGTCGGTAGATTGAGCCATTGCGACGAAGGCGGATGCGATCGGATAAAAACGTCGAGGTCACCAATTTGGCGGGTTACTCCAAAACACGAGGTTTAATGATAAAGTAAAAAGAAACGTTTATTTACGGCATAACAACATTAAACAAGTGCTCGCCAGCTGACTGCTTGTGGCGCGAGAACAGGCGAGTACGCATTTATTAAAACAACAGTAGTGGTAAAAATCAATTAAACATAATGATAGTTCGGAATCGGAAAACAATGTTTCGCGAGCGGCGCCGGTGCGAAGAGAGCGAGCGAAACGGTCGAGACGTCAAGTCGAGCGGAGCTACGGCCGATGACTATTGAACGCCGACGGCGAGGGGAGAGACCGACGTCCGCCGCGAGCGACGCCAGCGGGAAGAAAGAAATGTGGCGCGAAACCCGCCACAATATCAAAGAAAACTATGCTGTTATCAACCCCACTGTAGCGAATGATTATGATTACGGCGGGTTGATAACATATAAGATAAGTTGATTAAAGAGTGAAATATTGTTGAGTTAAATTGTTAAATTAAACGTTACCTATAAAGAATAGACATTAAATGTCATTTATTTTTTTACAGGTACGAGTTCTACCTATTTCTTAAAATTTACTATACATTGAGGATTATCTTATCAACATTTTTATATATAGTTTTATAAAATATATATATGTGTACCTTCAATCGGATGATATATTTTAAAAAAAAATTGAACATATTTAAATTTCTTTTTCAAATCTTGAAAATGGAAATGATCGGAAAATTAATCACGAAATAATAGGTAGGGCAATGATACCAGTGTATGACAACATTTTTGGAAAAACATTTTCAAATTTTGAAGAAAGTATTAAATACCTACTACAGCATTTTGAAACATGTAACATAACAGAACTTGGTTTAAAATCATTTTTTTGCTAAGAATAGTTTGTTGTTATAAACCTACAGGTATAAATATATAATGATTAATCCTACCATTTGACATTTTAATAATAGTAGAAGCAATCAAAACTGTTCAAAAATAAACTCTGAGAAGTCTTAATTATTGATCAATAGGTAGGTATAGTGAATTTATTACGCGTTTTTTAATTATATAAAAATAAATAATCTCTGACTAGACTGAAATTTGGAGGGAACATTTGTAGATATCTAATTAACATTATATCGACAAAACATTTTACCAACTTCGTTTCCCTCCATTCAGGGGCAGAAAAACTATAGGAAATATAGATTAATCTCCTACCTAGGCCGAAATTTAGAGAACATATCAGTAGATGCACATCACTTACATTAGTTTACAATACTTATATCACTCATAAACCCAGGTAGGAAATAAGGGTTTATTCATATTTATTATATGATATATTAGATATATCGTAATAAATAATTAGCTCGACTTTTTACTATTCTACATTTAATAACGTCAGTTCATTAGTGCGATACAAATTTAATAAATAAAAAAGAGGAACCAAGAGGACCATCATCGTATTACGTAAAAATTAGTAAGAGTCAAGTATCTGAATCTACGTGTCTTTTTAAGACTACCTGTTAATAGCGAAACCCATAGGTCTCCGCATTATACACGGATAGCTTACCTGTTAATACGATTAGCACCACCGGAGTGTCGAAATAAACGTCGCTTTTCATTGACCTGATCTAAACCAACGCCTTTTGCAAGAGCCGAGTGTATGTCTATCGGTTCCAAATACAAGAACCCGATGTTATCCAACCATGATCAGTCGCCCGAATTCATAACCTGAAAATAATTACGTTTAATATGATTAAAAAATTAAATAAGACGTAGATTTATACAATACTTAGGTTTAATGAAATAATTTCTCGAAAATTACGATAATTTTAGGTTAAGTCACACTAGTCACAAATACATTAAACTATTAAAGACGTATTACTATCGGTGCACGACGATACAGAATAAACACAAGGGTACAGACGGAAAGACGTAATAGAAATGATTTAGGGACACTGGCACGCAGCTAAGGGTAGAGAAAAGCCGCTCGCACGGCGTTCTATCGGGGTATAGTAACAGGGTGACCAACACACCACCAGGCACCCTCTCACACAAAGAAATTTTTGAAATATTGATGTATACGTTCGCGAGAACAACGAAAAACGGAAACCGAGTTGCATACAACAATAATAAGGGTAGAGACCATCAATGATATTGTATGATAGGGAGAAGCAATGATAACGAAGAATAGTAACGACCCGAGAACGTGATTTCTTTAACAATACTCAATTTCTAATGAATGTTTTAATACCTAAATTCCTACTATAATTAAATTACTTCGATTCACGCTCCCGACGAAGCAACTTAGCCAGTGAGTGAAGGAAATTAATCGAAAATAAATTCTGTGACTGTGTGATATTTTAGATTCCATACGGTGATCCTTGTAATATAGATGGTACCTATGTAGTCGAAGGTATTCGGTATAAAATATGACCTCCATTCTTTAGTTGATGCGTATTAGTAACAATATTTTAATGTGCAATACGCAGGTAGGTAAACGGGTAGATATACCAATCATGGTTTTTAATACCTAAATTCCTACTATAATTAAATTACTTCGATTCACGCTCCCGACGAAGCAAATTAGCCAGCGAGTGAAGGAAATTAATCGAAAATAAATCCTGTGACTGTGTGGTATTTGGGATTCCACACGGTGATCCTTGTAATATAGATAGTACCTATGTAGTCGAAGGTATTCGGCATAAAACATGACCTCCATTCTTTAGTTGATGCGTATTAGTAACAATAATTTAATGTGCAATACGCAGGTAGGTAAACGGGTAGATATACCAATCATGGTTAAATTTTATAATTTTGACCGTTTTTCTATAACCGCAGAAGATATTAAACAAATTTCCTTGTTATCACGTTTAGAAATACTTATGGGTTATCATGTTATATCTTACATTTCTATTATCAATTTTATTGCGTGGATAAAAAGTTTAAAACACCGTTAAAATTCGCAATGCAATATTTTGACGTTACAAAACCATTACCCATTGACTTGAATTTATACAGTATCAGTAATAACAAATGAAAATAAACATTGTACAAATACAAACCCGATAAAGAAATATATTGTATATGCATACACTACCGCAAACGACCCGGATCTTTTGAACGGTTCAAAGTAGAGAGCGAATATTCAGTTCAATTGTCGTGGTTCCCAAACGGTTCGCGAATCGCGTGATGATTCGGACATAGATTAGATATTATAATTTGTATTTTGAATGATTCAGACTTCGTATAGATGCATAGATTAAACATTCGGTATCGGTATGATAACGTGTGCAAAACAGTGGAGATTAGTTTCGGTATCGGTATGATAACGTGTGCTAAACGGTGGAGATTAGTTTCGGAACAGCTCCATTTCACTCACTCTCATAATAAAATTATTTATTATTATGATAACGTTATAAAAATATCGTGTATGAACCTACGAACAAATACGAAAAGAAAATATCAGATAATNATTCGGTATCGGTATGATAACGAGTGCAAAACGGTGGAGATTAGTTTCGGAACAGCTCCATTTCACTCACTCTCATAATACAATTATTTATTATTATGATAAGGTTATCAAAAACTCGTGTATGAACCTACGAACAAATACGAAAAGAAAATATCAGATAATTCGGATCACCTCCGTTCGGCGATCTGAATCATATCGTTCACTACTTTGACCCGTTCAAAGGATACGGTTCGTTCGCGATCAACGCGTATCTATAATACACCGTAAATGCGATTTTTTTTTTTTTTTTTATACTAGGTAATNGAATCATATCGTTCACTACTTTGACCCGTTCAAAGGATACGGTTCGTTCGCGATCAACGCGTATCTATAATACACCGTAAATGCGATTTTTTTTTTTTTTTTTTAACTAGGTAATTACGTTTATTTGTTTATCCTTCAGTATTAGCGTTACTGCGTTTGCGTATTTTGTATTTTTTGTTAAGATTTTACAATAATTTGTTTTATTCAAAATGGATCGAGAAGGCAACAATATTTCACCAATGAAAAAAATTCCTCGTGAAAAAGTAAGAATTATTTTGAAACTTTTATGATTGTATTATAATTGTACCTACTGTGGTAATTACGTTTATTTGTTTATCCTTCAGTATTAGCGTTACTGCGTTTGCGTATTTTGTATTTTTTGTTAAGTTTTTACAATAATTTGTTTTATTCAAAATGGATCGAGAAGACAACAATATTTCACCAATGAAAAACATTCCTCGTGAAAAAGTAAGAATTATTTTAACTTTTATGATAGTATTATATTGTACCTACTGTACTATAAAAAATATTTTTAATTTTAGTTTGTTGGTTCTCTTTAAAACCTGATGATTGTCAATTTGGACAAAAACAAAATAGCACTGCAGGGAATTGGAGATGGGTCAAAATTGACTGCGGAGGAAACTATAAAACAAATATCTGAAGAATGTGGTATCCATAATGGATACTCCAGGATAAATAATGAATAAATAATCCAGAATGGAATCCAAAAAGAATACACAAGATTATCATGATGAAATGAACGGTGATAATTTTTATGAATTACAATTTTACCGTTGTTGAACGACAATGCCTTAATTGTCATGGATAATGCATCATATCATTCGGTGAAGAAGGACCCTTGCCCCAATATGTCTTGGAAAAAAAGAGATATTATCAACTGGATTGAAAGTAAAGGTGATCAAAATAATATCAAGTCATAATTATTGGAACAAGTAGAAGTTTTAAAGCCTCAGTATGATCTATGTGTAATTGATGAATTAGCGAAGGTTGCTAATAAAATTGAATCATTTGACTATAAATGTTTGTATATATTTTTTAAATATGACTAATTTCTAATCAATTATGAGAATTTATACAATTTTAATTTATGATTTCTACTATTATTTTATTATTTGTATTTTAAATTTAACTACCTCTGGAAAAAATATAATAAATACAGTAAAATACAATATTTGCATTTTTATTTTATTTTAAATTGGTCATTTTTCATGGAAATAATTTATTTTAAAAATATTATTATTTAAAATGAGTTATTACTAGACATAATTATGTTAGGAAGTATAACTTATTTGATTATTATTCTCCAAAATATATTGATAGAAAATATTATAAAATAATTGTTCTTTGTTTCATTGTGTATTTGTAATTTTTCTTAACATGAATTAGTCTGTAGAATATTACATTTATTATTTTTGAGAATAAGGGTGATAGAATCAAATGGGATTGTTGCATCAGTGTTCTAATCAGTTTTTATTCACAGAAAACCTGCACAGGTCATTCCATTTTCTATTTATCTATATATTTATTTAGAGTATTAACCCTTTAATAATTTTGTTTTTACATTATTATTTTATTATAAAACAAATTTAAAAATGCAAGGTATAATATAAATGTATTTTTTTATTGTCATTTAGCGAAAAAATTAAATATGAACATAATAGGATTAAAATTGAAAAATATTTTAACTTAAAAGTGTGTTAAAAAATTATAAACAGTTAATATACAATACATAAGTACAAATAGTACATTACAAATTAACTGTATAGTATAATAAGCTACATCAAAATTACTTATAACTTATAAGTGCAACTAGTCTCCTCACCCCGGATCATGGTTTTTTACCGATGTAGATAACCGCGGTGCCCCGGATGCATGGGANAACAGTTAATGTACAATACATAAGTACAAATAATACATTACAAATTAACTGTATAGTATAATAAGCTACATCAAAATTACTTATAACTTATAAGTGCAACTAATCTCCTCACCCCGGATCATGATTTTTTACCAATGTACATAACCGCGGTGAATGGGAATTCGAAGTGTTATCGAATGATTGCGCGGCCTCCCGGAAGGGAACCCTTTACAAAAATTAGTGTTAACTCATTTTTTTCTGTGCAAATGCCAGGAAAAAACAACTATATATACTTGCACGGAGTATGCATTGTGCCGAAACGATAATTTTGAGGCCTATTTATAGCGTTTGGACTTCTTTGGAAACATCCAAAAATTGACACCCTGTCAGATTTTTTTTGAGGTATTCTACTACACATGCATACATAGTTCCGTGTTTTTCGTATACATTAACTCCTCATAAAATCAAAAAATTACCTCTTTTAAGTACCAACCTACATCAATATCATTTCAAAGAAGTACTACAATGGAGATAAAAAAGAATAAATTAATATTATAAAATCATATGATTCTTCGCTCATTATTGAATCTAGACAACTTCATGTTGGTTCATTAATACACCTAATTTAAATTTCTATTTGCCAAGTTTGGTGAATTCTTATCAAACA